ATGACTTATCAAAAATAGACACATGAGCTATGATTCTTTTAAAACTTAAATACATAAGATAAAACGTACAAAAAAAGTACATGAAAAAAAATAAAATTACGACACGTTAATTTCCTAAAGAGCTGTGAAATTAATTTTACATTACGGTCTGTAAGTTGTAAAGTCCATGGTATTCTCTACATCCAAAAGGATAACTTTAATCATGACATTAATCACATCATATTGTGGTAGTTCAAATCTCAGAGAACGTATACATAGTAAAGATTGCATTGTAATATTCTATGGGAAGTTAAACGTCGAAGGCTATTTTTATTTCATTTTTCAGCTAAATATACAGAAACAATTTAATTTCCTCTGTCTTTATATTATCCGCATTTAAGAGGAACATAAACAGACGTTGTTTATACTCGTTGTTCACAGATTTGAACTGTTTATAGACATGATAGAGTTCACTTGGATTATCACTGTGTGTTATCTTCACATTTTATCATGTTAAGGGTACCCACTCGTCAAAGTATATTATGTCTGCTTTTAAAATATATTTTTTTAATTTTTTATATTGTAAGAATGTTTTTTTCTGATTTTTTATGCCTTATTTTTTGTTAATAAACAGGTTTATTGCTGATAGCAGGGATATAAGAAAACAAGATGTGTTTGTGGAACACTGATGCCCCTGTATGATAACATAGTTAAGATTAAACTTTCTTAGATGCAAAGTTAATATATTGGTACCCAAATTAGGGTCTCCTAACTGGAATACCATTGTAAAACATGAAAGCCTTATCACCATCTGTTCCCAAGTTATGGCCAGGCTAAAGTTTTTTCATAAGTACATAAATCTTCAAGATCGTGGTCAGAAAGTCAAGATTATTGGTATCCAATGAAAGGTTTTTTCCACAAAGATCACATGTTTGAAGTATACAAGCCCTTACAATTCAAAAGATATGGGCAATGTTAAAAAGATTTTTATAGTACGTAAAACTCCAAGATCAAGGTCAGAATGTCAATGTTATTCATATTGAGTGAAAGGTCTTGCCACAAGAATAACATATGTGAAGTATGAAAGCCCTTGCCCTTACTCTTCAAAGTTATTGCCAAGGTTAATGTTTTTCATAAGTCCGGATATCTCCAAAGTCAAGGTGAAAAGGTCAGGATTAATGGTATCCAATAAATGCTCTTGCTACAAGTAATACATATGTAAAGTATGGAAGCTCTAGTCTAGTTCAAAAGTTATTGCCAAGGTTAAGATTTTTCAAAAGTAGGTCAAACTCTAAGGTCAAGTTCAAAAGGTCAAAGGTTTCGATATCAAATGATAGGTCTGTCACAAGAATTAAATATGTAAAGTATGAAAGCAATAGCTCTTACCCTTTAAAAGATATTTTCAAGGTTTATTTTTTGAAGTAGGTCAAACTCCAAGGCTAAGGTCAAAGTGCCAAAGCTCTTGGTATCAAATGAAGCATCTTCTTACAAAGATTAGATATATGAAGTATGAAAGCTCTAACCCTTACCGTTCAACAGTTATAGCAAAGAATAATTTTTTTTCATTAGTAAGGTCAAGATCAAGGTCAAAAGGTCAAGGTTGCTGGTATCCAGTAAAAGGTCTTGCAACATAGAATATGTATGTGAAGTATAAATGTCCTGGTATCTAAAGTTCAAACCTTTTGGCCAAAGAAAAAAGAACAAAGTACGTTCTTGCCTATATGCAGCCGAGAAATTTTACTATTTTTAAACTACCATTATTTATGCAAGTCCCTTATGTTTCGTTTACAACAAGATCAAAGCTAAACTCAACTTATATAAAAATGACGTAATATGTTACATTGACGTCATGATACCACACAAAACAGCGGTTGTTCAGTGAAATCCGTTCAATTTTCATGAAAAATCAGTAAATGTTGATGAAATTAAATATGTTCCCAAGCATTTACCACCTTGATTTGTGTATAAAATAATTGGTTAAAAATCTCCGTCCAGTATTAAATTCGTGTCGGTTAATGAGTGGGAACAGTATTCATTTCTTATAAATAGTAAGTCCGGAAATGAAAATTATGCAACATTAGCATTCATTCTTTTATGCTGATTTTACACAGTATTTACGTAGGAAAAGAATAATATCAACAGCTGTTTTAACATGTGAACACAAAGAAAATCATACAAGATAAAATCCACATGCATATGTATTTTAAAAATCTTTTTACGTTATGCTTTTATTCAAAAGTAGGGGGCAGTACCACGGGACCGCTAACAATATAGAATGGGCGTTTATTCCCACTGTGTTCCATTAATTGCCTGAAAGTTTTATTTCATGCAAATAATTTACATATGTGCAAGACTGACTTTCCAGCATCGTGTGCATAGTATTAATTTGTTTATGAAAAAAATATAAAAAGTAATATTACGGAAAACTTTACAAATATACTTAGTATTACAAGTATAATTAAAAAAAACGAGTATAAGTTATGTACCACACGTAACCTCTGTTTAGTGTCAAAATGAGAACTCACTGCATTTCTTCTTGTATTGTCAACAATATGCCTTACAACGACAATTACTGATTAAATACATGAATGAAAATAACATACCAATTAATATAGAAAACATATTATATGGTGTAGACTCACTAAGTCTGGATAAAAATCTTTCATTTTTTGTTAATGGTACATACCTTTATAAGAACCTCTAAGAGGTTTTCATTGAAATTTTAGTTTATTATTTTCTATGGGAAATATATTATTTTACTATATGTAAACTGCTCTGTTAGGGAATTCTTCCTACTCTGGGTTCGCCGAAATTAATATGGCTGATAAATTGCCGACTCGGCGTCAAACAATATAAAATCAATCAATCAATCCTACTCTGGGTCAACAACAATTGCTCAAACACATGTTCTTGTTTTTTTGTTTGGTTTGTTTTTTTTTTTTTTCCTTTTTGTTGATTATATTTTATTTATTATATAATTATTATTTTTCCTATCCATTTGATTTGTTAAATTATATTTTTTTCTTATCATTTCTCTCTCTCTCTCTCTCTCTCTCTCTCTCTCTCTCTCTCTCTCTCTCTCTCTCTCTCTCTCTCTCTCTCTCTCTGAATAAATTCCAAATATGTACCAATTTAGAATCTACTCTTCATACATTTTCCAATGTTTGCATGTACTTGTAATTGTACCTTGACCTATGGAAAGAACGACCATAGGCATTTATGCCTGCTGTTCAATCCATTTCTTTATATGAATAAATATATTTTAAACATACAATTTATCATTTAGTCTAATGCTGACGTTTTTCATACTAATTTTTAGTTCATTATTTATAAACTGAACTGACCATAGCTTTTTCCGTTATTTCCCGATCATAACAAGGAGCAAATGGCAGGAGTGACCGGTCGGCAGGGGATGTTCACTCCTACATGGCTCCTGATCCCACCTCTGATGCTTTAGAGGGCTGGGTTTGCTCTCCTCCTATTTTGCATTGTTTAATGGACTTTGATATTGAATCTCCATCTACTTCGCCAAAACTGTAAAATGAATAAAATATGAAAAAAAAATATATCATTTTTAATCATGGCAACACCTTTCATTGAACTCAATATTGATACACAGAATTGAGTATCTAGTTTGTTCAACTTGTGTGCTAAGTTATATTGAATTCAGGGCAATCCGTAGAAGGACTAGCGCTTTGAAAGTACTAGTATTTTACAGAAAACTTTATTGTTTTCTACCATTGCAGCACATCACAATCAAAAGCGATTGGGAGAATATTGTAATTTAGTAAAGTATAAATGTGTGCTACGTTCTTTTAAAATCAAACCAAAACTAAAGGAATTGTGTAATCTTTGAAAAATTTTGAAGCTAGACAGAGAGAAGGGTGTACGAACGACACGTTACAATCTCATAAATTCATCTGCTCTCTGACCAGTAAAGCTAAAACATGTGACATACATTTCATCACTGTTTACATGTAACACCATTATATTAAAACTAAATAAAGATGAAGAGAATCCTTCTATGAAGTTCTTTATATCACATTATTTCCATTTTTTCCGCTTTTAGATAGACGATTAGCATCGCATTATTGTATGATGTCACTGTTGTATGAATTTGATCAGTCGTTTACAGTTAGGTGCTTTCTGTTTTTTCTTTCTAACCAATACCGAAAATACTGCCACATATTTATTATTATGATAATTGTAATTATTTAGAAGGAAATAGTGTAGTATTTGAAAAGCAACGCAGTATTGGAAGACATTGCACTGAAAAACTTCTTCTCAAAAAGATACCTGTTTTTTAACAACGCACATTCCCGATCAATAAATCAAAATTTGTGAGTGGATAGGGTTGTACATGTCTATTTTTGGAATTAATCTTTGAGAGCCTTTTTTCAAATAAAGGTTGATTTATCCCAAATCTTGAAATTTACCGATGAAAAGGTCTCCCTAAGGACATAAATAAAGGTAAAGACAACAGTTCATGCAGTAACGATGGTCAAATGGATCCACTGTATAGTAGATTTTCTGGCAAAAATACAAATTGGAGTGTTTTAAAAATCTCGTGTGATAATTAATTTTTCATAGACGTGCAATGCACAGTATATAAATCCTTCAGAACTGTTTAATTCATTGAGTTGAAAATGTTTGGTTTATTCCTAAGGTTGGTTTCCTGTCTTACCATTTTTGCTTCTTTCTCCATTGTCAACGGGTCTCATTTTAGAGGCGGAACAATAAGTTGGAGACCTACAGGAAATGGAAACGAGATGTCTGTACTCGTGTCTTCTTTTTAAATGATTAGCATTTAATTGAAAATAAGAAAAATTCAATCTAGAAAATTTCCAGTTATGTTTCTAGCATAGACTTGTAATATAAAGTACTTTACCGGTAAAAGAAGTGATAAACCACTAAAATGAAACCGATTTTTAAGAATATTCTACTGATTTCAGGTATGATTTTCATTTAAACTTGCATGGGCCTATGGACAAGGACCCGGATGCACTCAGTCAAAAATAGGTCAATTAGTCACGGGAATGAATACGTCCTACTGGCAGTGTACTGCAGGATGCAATCCATCTGTTAACATTGATAATGTAAACTACATATGCACAGGGGCGAGTGTATCAGAAAACTGGGAACAAGGGGAGAGGACTTTTACCTACACTTTTCCCGGCATAGGTCCTTACACAGTCGAGTAAGTTTTTTTTGTCGTATTTTAATTATATCTGGCTATTTAATTATTTTTTTTTAAGTTTTTAGTTAAACAAGGTAAATTATTGAAAACAATTACATAAAACATGAGTCAAAAGCTGACTGATGTTTGTCATACTAAGTGTTAGGCGATTATTTACACTCTGAACTGACGACGGATTTTTTTTGTTATTTTTCTACTTTGACAAGGAGCGTACCGATCGGCAGGGGATGCTCACTCGTGCAGGGTGTCTAATTCCATGTCATTGCTATTTTGTAGGTCTGTGTTTGCCCCTCTCCTATTTTGTATTTTTTCATGGACTTTCGAGCTTGAATACAGTTCGTTATCTTTATATATTATATGCATTAAAATTTTAATGTCTTATATTCATCGTAGTTTACCGGTGAAATAATTATGAAAACAATGTTTAATTGTATTTTTAATAGTATTTATTGATTATATAAATATTATAGGAAGCATACATGGTAAGGGAGTTTTGAGGACCTTTTTGGAATATATTCAACAGGTTCTATTACATCAATTTTCAATCATTTGTCGACAATGTTGAAAATATTGAGGGGCAACGTCTGATTTTGGACAGTCATCACATAAAAGAACACAATGACTTTTCGATAAATCACCAAAGTCTCAAATAAACGAAGTCTACTGATTGAGTCATACACAGAAAATTATTTGTCATTTAGAACCAGTAAATACATGTCAGAATCATTTGATGTAGCTGGGAGTTTTCGCCAGTGTTACTTTTATTTGAGATGGTTTTGAATACAATTGTATTTTAAATTGATCAAACATTCAATATTATCCCTAGCGTTCCTATGGTAAGTGATGGAACATTTGTCAAACAATGACACAATTTCTGGCACAGCGTCAATGAAATTAGACACAAACAAATTATATCGTCCAGTATACCTGTACATGCTGTAAAATGATATACATAATGTACATGTAATATATGACATGATATTAAGTTAAATTTTAATATGACGATACTACTTCTTTTCAATTCTGAAATACTGATGAAAGACGAAAACTGAAATTCAGAGTTAAAATACTTCTCTATAGTAGTTATCAATTCTAAAATATTCCAAAAATATTCTTTGCTTGAACTTCCTTTTTTGATAGATTTAAAGGAGGAGATTGGGTAGTCCTGAGTTTTGGATCGCCAGGCTCCTGGTCTATTGGCACCGTTGTTTATCTTGCCAAGAGAAACGACACCCATCAACCAAATATTAGTCCTGTGACAACTGGAAAACCTACCTATAGGTAGATATTAAATGTGATTGCAGTATAATAATTAATCGCAAATTGGTAAAAAGTTATAAATTCGAAAAGAAGGTTATTAGGTCCTTAGCAATTCTAGCCTGAAATATCATTACCAGGCCCCATAAATTGTCATATTTTTACACAAAAATATAATTAAATAATAAATATAAAACATATACAGCATTATTTTTTTTTCTTAGATCAATACGATGATTTGACACCTGAGGAGTACAATATTCACTGAGCACGAAGGGCGAGGTAAATATTTGGGATAGGTGAATATTGTTCTTCGAAGGTGTCTATATCCTTTTACTTACCTCAAAAACAGCAATTATTGTTTATGATGTGATTTAGTATTTTTGGTCCAATGCAGAATATATAAATAATTCCTTGTATTAACATTAAAGGTCACATGCATGTCAATATAACGTAGTATTTTTCTGACATGTTTGATATCAGCCAATCAGAGGTATGGAATTATTCAATCATATTATAAATAGGAATTATCATCCAATCTTTTCCACAGATTACAATATGGCTGTCAGAATGAAATTCTTATCCCAGTTGTTGATTCTGACGGAGATGATATCAGATGCCGCTGGTCCAAAGGATCAGAGTGCGTCTCCATTTGTAATGCTCTGCCATCAGCTACCATTGATAGTGTAAGTAAATCTTAAGAAATCATAGATTTATTTATGTTCATATTTACCATAGCACCTGTTCCAAAGCACTTTTGAGCTTGCTTTCCGTTCATTTATCCATATTTCATGTAAAGTCCCCTACCGGTGAAACCGGAGTGGACTTTAGGTTTCCTCTGAGTCTATCCGTCCGTCTGTCTGTATGTCTACCTGTCTCTCTGTTTGTCGGTCTGTCCCACTTTGTTTTCTGTTCTTTGTTTTCTAAACACTTGCAGAGATTGTGCTCATTTTTGGTATGAAAGAATTTATTGATGAGTTACAGATCAAGTTTAAATTTCGTTCCACTTCATTGATTTTTGAGAAAACGCGACGTTGTTTTCAATTTCTAAGTTTTCACTGTATACAAAGTGCTAATCGAAATTCTACTTGATTTGGATCACTAGCTATATATGTTTGGATCATTCGAAGTTTCTGTCTGCACATTTAGACAAAAAATGTCTTTTATATACGGTTTTTTACTACTAATAAAACTACTTCAACCAATATGAGACTTCTTCTTGGTATATTTAAAGATTATTAGGTTTTTGTGTCACCCACCCTTCCTTAAACATCGGTAGCACGCGTTTTTCACGCATCGGATGGTCATTTTTCGACTAATGAGCCACATGAATGGACTCTTGACATTACTTCAATAAATCATTTATTGTTTTGTTTAATATAAATCGTAATCAAACGTTAGCTCAAATTTGACCACAAAGTCTTCGTTATATCTTGACAATCACATCAAATATGTACCTACCCAACTTCTCCGGAACTATTTTTGGTTTGCGTAGAAAATATCCAGAAGGTTATCTTTGTTGTCATGACAGCTATACTTTTTTCGAGTATACATATAGGAATTAGGCCTAGTGCAATTAGTGAAATAATGTATTGACGTTACCTTGTGTTTTCAACAGTATTGTACAATATTTTCTTCCCCAGACTCTTCTTACATTTTAAATTTGGCCCAGTCTATAGGAGGTCCATGTGTTATATGCTCACCTTGAGCGTTATATGCTCAGTCAGTGAGAGTAATACATATGTATTTGTATAAATTATAGAAAAAGAAGTGTTGCCTTTCGTGACAGTATCGTTTTATTTTCTAATGGAAACAACTTTTTAGTTCCATTTGTTTTAAATTCCGGAATAAAGGATGGATCCAGCATAAATTTCTTTGGGAAGGGGAGGGGATTACATTGTTGTCCATAACATTTAAAGATCCTGACACAAAACCCCTACTTTATGGTTGGGGAAGGAGTCGGCTTAATTGGTGGACAGGCTATATTCTTCCATATATACCGGTATTCTAATTTTTTCCATCAACTTATGACAGTCATTCATCAACAAAAGCATACCAAAGAAAAAACTTTAATGCCGCTTACCAAATTGTAAAATCTTAAACAATTTTAAAGATCGATTTCAACTCTTTGATTTGATATAAAAATATTTAGTGGTATATATACAGTATATGCATTCAAAGTTTCGATAAGAAAACACAATGATTAAAACGCATTCAGCTTCAAATCTTAATGCCGCTTCGTTCATTTACAAATTTCAATTCAGCCAAATAAGCGTTAAGAAGAGATTGCATGGGATATTTAAAAATGTTTTCATGAAATAAAAAGAAAACAAACGGGTACCACATCTTTCGAAGAAATGCATGGATCTTTGTTTTATAAAAATCAAAGCATATCCCTGATAATCAATTAATTTCCGTTACTATATATTTTTTGAATTTCTTTAATTTTCATAGACTCTGTTTCAGATTATTTGCTTTAAGTTCTAATATCTAATGATAGTGTGAAAATAGGTGAAATATTACTAAAGTTGCATTATAATCTCGTTATCATAGATTTATTAAAGAGAGAGAGAAAGTGTATAAGGCGAGGACAATCACCCGCTCTATGACGAAAAAGTTTAATTTTTCTAAAATTATGTTGTCGGTAATGTCGTCTTCAACATATCTGATTCATATAATAGTATTGTACTGTAAGAAATGTTGATTGGAAATTGTTTTTTAAACTTATTTAGTGGTATATGGGTACGTTAATATTAAACGATTCCAGCCATAAGAATTTATTTCTGAATATGAATGGGTCAGGTTTCTATCCTAAGTTTTGTGCTTATATTACTGAAAAGTAAACCAACTGTGTTTTTTTCTAAATGGAGTATGGACCCATTCTATTTAAAAGTCGATTATTTCTGGAATGTTAAAAAAGTGAGGATAATGAGCATTGATTTATGTCAAAAAATTTACAAATACAAATATGTGAGCAGGGCATAAATACGGACCCCCCGGAATACTAGAGATGGGAACTGTTGCCTAGGAGGAGTAAGCATCCCTTGTTGATCGGTCACACTCGCAGTGAGCCCTATGTGTTGATCAAGTAAACGGAGCATTTCGTGAACAAATTAAGTATAAAAACAAAGGTCTAACAGTTGGGTGAAAGAAGCAAGCCAAAAAAAAAAACGAACCAGGATGAATTAAATAATAGGTGGAAAAATGTTTTTTTGTCTCAACAATTCATTTTTTTAAAGCAAACTGACACACAACCAACATGAAGACACCGTAGCGTATAGTGGTTAACGCATTCAGTCTCACGCCTATCATGAGCTTTGGAGAGAGTTCGAATACTAGTAGTTTTTGAAGCCTTTATTTTCCTTTTTACATACCTTTAAAACATTAGTGAAAATATATAACGTGTATTTATCAATACATTGTAAGCTATTTAAAGACATAAATTTGAGAATGTGTCTTTGGATTATATCCCCCTCCCCAATATAAGCCACCATTCTTCAAGAAGTATTCTATGCAAATCAAACATAGCATTTCTGTATCAATCGCGACAAAATGCAAATCAAGTATAGCACAAACACCAGCAATGATTGCACATTTCATCAAATTCTATAATTATTTATTTCTCTTTAACTTCTTTTGACTGATAAATGTTTCTCTTGTGATTATGAATGCCAATATATTTTCAAAACTGTTAAAATCGCAATAATTTTGTCAAAAATCAATGAATCTTGATTTCATGCAAATCACATAAAGGATATGAAAAAAGTAAAGCAATCGAAAAAATATGTTGCAAACATGTAATAGCATTCACTCAAAACAGGAATAGCTCAATTTCTCAAAAAAGCGTAATGTATAGAAATCAGATGATGTTTCGTGGGTGAATTGAGGAGAAAACTTATATACAATAACTTTTACAACAGAATATACTTTGAAAAAAATTAAGAACAATTGAAATAATTCAAAATGAGTGAAAATAGCATTTTAACTTCGTAAATGAGAGCGGTATCGAATTTCTAACATGTTTCAACTTAAAAATTTCCTCAAATATATTTACATTGATTCTACAAAAGTTTAATAAGTTTCCTAATTTCTTAAGGTTATTTTTACCCAATTTTGCTTGAAGAATTTTCTTTTTTACCCATAATGCATCAGAGTACCCAAAGCAATATAGCTAGTGATCCAAATCAAGTAGATTTTCGATTAGCACTTTGTTTACAGTGGTTTTTTCCCCTAATTTTTCTAAACGATTATAGATATTTAATTAGGTGATATTTGGAATGTAATTGTATGTTGATGAGTAACAGATCAAGTTTGCATTATAGAACGCTTCAATGATTTCTTGATGGAATTACAGTATTTTATTTTAATGGGAACCAGACTAGACTTGCCGTTATTGAAAAGTATTTCATATGAAATACTTTCAGAGTGTTTAACTATTTTCAGACTATAAACATTCCATTGTCTGGTCACATTCACAGAACGTTTACATGTAGGGATCATTTTTATTTATTAATTGTCTTTCTTCCTATTTGTATGAATGTCCATCTACCCATCTGACCTTTTGTCCTTGCAACTTGACTTTTGGTCATAATTGTTTTGTTTTTGTTTTCAATGCATAAAATCCGATAATAAAACTTTTTTTTCTTTAATGGAGCGGTAAGTCTGTATAATTTAAATACAGTCGTATTTAAAGATCTAAAGCGATAATTCTTTGCTGTTGAATGCATCCCGTTTTACATTCGTTCGAGCTCACGCTATAATGCCTATATCCGCAGACCCCTATAAATATAGCGAAGCAGTTATTCACTGTTCTGTGTAAGAAACTGTCACCGATGTAAACGGACGTATGTTACCCCCTGTTCACACAGAGCTGCGACTCTACGGCGATCATCCCGATTAAGCCACGATTTGGATTTTTTTTGGATCGGGGCAGATCGCAACCGATCGGCGTCTAAATAGAGCAATATAGCAAATTATGGTCTTCGTTACGACCGTATTACGATGTCCCTACGTCAAATGCGCTTCTACTACGATGTTATGCAGACAGTTGGCGACAAGCGGTCGTGCTTACTGCGTTTACGCAACGCTGCCACTACGACATTGAAGACCATACTACGACGTTACACAAACTCAGATGACTGTACAGCGATGTCGCTACGGTATTGCCGATCATATTACGATTGCATTACGCTTCTAGTACGATTTTGGAGATGATGTAAATATATCTTGCAACTGCAGATTTTTGTAATACGATTTCAACGACGATACATATCTTGCGACCGCAGTTTTTTTGCGGCCTTTACCACATGGTTCACGGGCATTTTCAATTGTAACTGTAACAAGATGTAAAAAGTCTCCATTGCAAATGATCGTCATGTATAGTGTCACCCTTTACATGTAAGTTAAAGATGATAATTGGTCAAATATCAGCGCTACAAGAACAAACTTCTGTCTCATAAGTCGTGATATGATCGGAGTATGGTCATTGTAAGTCTTCGTAGGATCTTCAGGAACGTAGTAAGAACGTAGTACGAACGTAGAGGGAGCGTTGTATGAGCGTACTTGGTAAGTTCCTACGCTCCTACGCCGCTTTTACTACGATCACGAAGATTTCTCTACGATGCTTCCGCGCTGCTTGTACGATAACGGCGCTTCTAATACGCTCTTTTTACGACTTAACCCCGATTCTTGTGGGCCACAATCCCGCTACGCTTAAGCTTGTTTGCGACATGTTCAAAATAAGCGTGGTGGGAGCGCAGAGCTCTCCGATCATGAAGATCCTACTGCGATCATACTACGCTTATGACGACTCCGCGACGTTTCTTATGCGATTTGTCACGATCGGGCACGCTTTGATCATAGTAGAAGCGGCATCTATGTGTGAACGGGGGGGGGGGGGGGGGGTTATACAAAAATCAGTAGCGACAGAAATAACTGTCTACTTCCAACAGTGTAGAAAAGTAAGATAACAGGGACGCTTAGAACAGTTGCACAGGTCAGTGCAGTATACAAACAAAAACAAATGTACGCGTAACTGCAATACAAAGTAAACAATATATAGTAATGCAAGATAATAGTCGCCATTCCACACCGAAACCTGTGACAATATAGCAGTCAGGTGTCACGAATGCGAAGAGTATACCCTAGTATTGATGTATCGTAATAAAAATATTATTATGCCTTATTTACGAGTCGTGTTCAGCTTTAATACGGTTGGTTCCTGATATTTAAAGTCTTAGCTGTTTTGATTGATTGATTGATTGTATGTCATGTCGTCCTGTACATTTATTATGATACCTCATTATAATTATTCTTCACATGGCGTTATCTGATTGGTTCTAGATTATCACATGAACCAGTCATAAAAATATTTCACGGTCTCCGACATGCTTTTCATCGTATTCCACCTCTTCGGATACACAGTACATATTCATGCAATATAGTTTCCGTTTGTTGAAAGAAAACTCCCGAAAATAGTGTAGTAATATGAAAGTAATTTTGAGAGCGGTGCCGAATTCGAAAGTTTGTGTTTATTAAAAGCGTACTAAGTTTGATTACCACTCGCATGAAATCCAACCGCTTCTTACATACAGAATAAATTGAGCTTTTATAAGAAATACAATTTTGTTACCACTTTGTGAGCTGGAATGGAAATTTAGATCATGAATAGTTACAGAAATATATTTTTATCAATGCATTAGCAAATAGGAAATGTAAGAAAAAAATTGCTGGCAGGGTTACTAAAAATGACGATGCATGTATGAAATAAAAGAAAATAATGTTGTATTTTACAGAAAACATGCACCATTCGATTTTCTGCAAGCTATACATCAAATGGTACTTTTGCTGTTGCTGTAACTGTGCAAGATTTCCCAAAATCTACTGTATCAATCGGCGGGAAAATATATTCTCCAACAACAAACATGTCTTCCGTGACTTTACAGGTTTAATATTAATTCTATATAAAGTTATTAATTTGATAAGGGATGTTGTTTTCCAAAAAATTATCATTACACAGAAAATGATTGAAAAAGATTAAATACATGTAGGCAGAGTAGTCATTTAGAGATATTTTTTTATTTATAGTTGATGTGAGTAAAAGTTAAGCTGGAACATGAAACAAAACTGACATCTATCTCAAACTTTGAACCAATAAAATTAGCAAATTACCCCGTATTTGTTATATAACAATCAACTACATGTACTCAAAATACAATGAATATTGGTCATATTTTACAGAAGATTAATTTCTTCGGAAGGCAAGTTATTTTCGGATGCCATTTTTTAGTATCCTAGATCTTATGAGTACAGTAGTTTTCATGAATAAGAAAGCAATAACATCTTTAAAAATCGGTTAAATGTAGAAGTTTAATAAATTGATATCGATATTTTTTTTCTTAGCATCATCTTTATAATGACGATATTATCATTTGCATGCTTTTGATCCAAATTAATTCAGAAACTAATTAATAGTCAATGCACTGCAAAATATAACTTATTTATTTTTATATAAAAATTATATAATGGCGATAGTGATTACCTGTATGTTGTTTTACGTCACATCTGATAATTTTTCACTCAAACATACATAAAGACGTCACCATTTACCGATGACAGGCTTCACATTTTAACTACTCGGCACTCATGATCAGAACTTAAACAGTGTGAGATCTTTATCGTTCCAACACGGGTCTCCGATTATAAGCTCTCATATATGAAGGAATAACATCTTTCACTTCAAAGTGACGGGGGCATGGGGAAGGAACATTGGTTACCAGGCCATTTTGTATCGACTATGGTTAGTCGAGACCGAAATTCGAACTCATAAACATCCTATAACGGAGCGAATGTTCTATCGACTGATCTACTTTGACGGTCCTACAAGGTTAGATGAAGGTTCGTGTTTAATTCTCATAGGTCTCTATCTCCCTTTCTAGTGTTTTGGTCTCATAGTGAATGACATAACATGAACCTGTCTACGCATCACATTATGATATTGTGAACGAAGAAGAAATCCTGATGTATAATTTTGACTATTAAAAAATGAAATGCAGGAACTACCTTTTAGTAGAAAGGCTAAAAATTAAAATACTTACCGTGAACATTTTTTTCCATCGAACAGTTTCTAGTGAAGACGCCTCAACTAACCGTTAATTGCTCTGATAAACCAAAGTTTGTTAGCCCAACTCCAGCTAAGGGTTCAACAATGCAGACAGACATCTTAAAAGTCTTCAAGATTTCATTTTATGCCTCTGGAGGCAGAAGGTAATAACAACTTTCATTCAAAGGGTTGCTTATTTTTTATCCTTTTTTTTTTTGTTTACTGATTACAATGATAAATTATTTTAAACTTTTTTTTATTTAAAAACGGCATATGAAAATCATAATAAACAAGTAAACAAACTCAAAAGATATGTTTCTACATAAGAAGTACGTGTCCTGTACATTTTGAATACAACGGGATTTAAACATTGGTGTTAAATATGGAGAAAATAAATTTAGGATTATAGGTATCGATATGACTACACCTGCTGGAATGAATTATACATCAATACAGACGACAGGATCGAACTCTAATACTGTGTTTGTGAAAGCAACATGGATACCTCAACAGAACCAAGTCGGATCTCATATCGTCTGTGCTCTGGCGGAAGATGTAATAGGGTATTTTTCTAAACAATTCCTTAATAACTTTAACGTAGCAATTCAATGAAATAAATGTGTTGTTTGAACTTGTTTCCATATCATATTGTATATGATTTATTTCAAAAGCAATGTTGTCAGGATTCTTTCTGAACAAACGTCTCTTTTTCACTTTTATCTTTATACAATAATTCATGATCAGTTATTGGTATATTTTATTATGTTAAAAAGTAGTGAAAGTGCGTCCTTAGCAAAAAAGAGATATAGTATAGTATGAAACACGTATGATTTTTTTACTTTTACAGAAAGACAAGTGATTCAAGATGCATTAATATTATCGTAAACGGTGAGTTTATATAAGAATTGACACACGAGAATTACTGGTATGTTCTCAATATAATGAAGTGGCATAGGACAGTATTCCAGTATGAGAGGTACTCGAATCAAAGAAAGTCCATTTTATTGTAGATGTTAGTCCCTGCGTTTACCTGCCATGTAAAAACGCGGGAACCTGTTTTAGAAGAGGATTGACACAAAATTATTCATGTACTTGTCCGTCAGGATTTACAGGACACTCGTGTGAAACAGGTTTGTAACATCATCAAGGATTCACATTTCAATGTGACGTAATGCTGTTTGTAACGGTATACTTGCCATCTTATTTTTCCAACTTATCATTATATATAAAATTATCAAGATATTTATGCAGTTTACCTTCACATTTAATACAAAACAAAGTATAGATAATAAAGTTTGTTTTGTTGTGGAATGGGTCAAATCTTGTATAAATGGAAAAAGATCCTTAAACATTTTTTTTTCTTTTGGTGCCCATGATACTTTTCATATTTTACATTGAATTTGATTTTACGTTTGTCTTAAACTAAAAGGACAAACAAAAATAGAGAGAGTTTGGCAAAGGAACATTTGCTACTTATTTGTATCTATTGAGGTCAGTCGTGGCTGTCATAAGAATACATGTACTTCCGATCACGGAACAAGCGCTCCACCAACTGAGCTATCGTAACGGTTCTTGAAAAGCTGTAGTCATCTTGTTTGTCATGCATCTTAGTTCTCAGTAAAACATTAAAACGTTTAGATATACACTGAACCAAACTTCTAAGTGTTCACCTAACATTTTTGAAGTTTTAGAGAACAAATGCAAACAATAAATAATTTCTTTTATTCCTGATTAATGATGCATATTTAAGTTGGATGTTGTCTAAATTTAATGTAAGTATCTCGACAGAATTTTTAGCAAAGTGTCAAGGAAACGAAGTACCCTCAAAATGAAAAGTCACACAAAAAAGCTCTATGGAGTAAGACCACCACTCTCTCTAATTAATACAACACTGTAATTACAGTTGCATACCATGAACCCCTGAATATGAGATTGACCCATCTGCTGCCACACCTACTGTCTAGATCTTTCCAAACCATTGCAATTGCGTGAAAAAAAGGGGGGGTGACGTTTTTTATAAAATCCCAATTGTGTTTGATGGGATTCAGATCCGGGGTTTTGAGAGTGTAGCATATCACACAGATGCCATTTGGTCAATATCCTAGGGTGTTTAGCACGTAAGTGACCTCTTGAAGGAAAATTGAGACTGCTTGAGCTGAAAGTAGACCGTCACAAGCACCGATTTCTTAACATTTTCGTACGATTGAAATTGTTTGTTTTCATGTTTCTAAGATTGTTTCACAACAATTTAACACTCTTTTAACATGGTGTGACGTGAAAATTTGGCCTCGGATGAAAATCAAGGTCACTTCCGGTTTGGTTAAATTTTGTCAAAAACTTTCAAATTGTGATAAATTGGTGATGAAAAATGACGCCCAGCCTATAGAAAAATGTGTTTAAATGGGTTTTGATATTGGTTGTTAAATTTTAAAAGTAATATCAAGTACAATTAAGCACTAAAATAAAAGTTAGAAAACCGTGGTGCAAAGATTGTCCAGATATTAACATTCCAACGGCTCTACCTTCCATCTCAATGGTCATTTTGCCAATGTTTTATGTTTTTAAGTAAAACCATTCTTTTTAATTTGATAATGATTACAAAAAGATACTAATTATACAAAACACGTGCCGCAAAGTACACTTTTATTATTTTTAAGCTGCGTCACGGAACATTGGTTTTCATCGGTGATATTTGATTTTCTTTCAATAATTGTTGAGAACACTCATTTGTTGTAATAATTTGAAAATATAAAACAGATATATTAAGCAGTTTTTAATTTAATACATTTATTAAAGTGAACACTTAGAAGTTTTGTTGAGTGTAGAAAACAGAAGTGACAAACACTGTCAGTGTATCTTTAATTTGAGTTTACTGGGATGTATCGAGTCGAGAGAAGAGTGGAAGTTTATATTATTGATAAAATTTGTTGTCATAAGAATATGCCTAACGTTTAAACAGTTCCTAAAACTAAATAAGTTATTGACAACCGAGTTAATGAAACAAATATGTCAACAGTCTGGTTAAATGTAATCATTTCGTAATTTCTATGGTCGATACAATGACTTTGTTACATGTAGCAGATACAATCTATCATTGGGTCAAACGCTGACGGACATTTTAATACTTATTGCTAGGCCAGTCTTTACATGTATTTATATTACTAAATTGTCGACAGATAAATCTTTTTTTCTGATCATGAACAGGAGCATACAACAGGAGTGAAAAGTCGGCATTGGGTGATCAGTCTTCTATGACACCTGATCTAACTTTCATGTTTTTTCAGAGGACCGTTTTTTTTTCTTCTTTTTTTTTTCTTTTTTTTTTTTAGTCTGTTTATGATTTGTATTGTTAAAATTGACTTTGAGCTTCAAAACAATTCCTCATATTTCATTAACTTGGGCGAAGAATCAGATTAAAATTTAAATAAGTATTTTGAATTTGTTGATGACCACAAGATATCACCGGAAATAAAACTAGTAAGTTTCGTTTTTATTGAAGATACATGACAATGATATACAAACCTTTTTTTTTATAATTAATAACAAATGGAGAAATAGACGTCTAGTATTTAGTAGTATTTTAGTAACTTTGCCCTCAGGGCAGAACAATCTGACTGCATCAACATACTACAGAATCAGAAGTCTTTATGAAGCACTTTCAGAGACTTTCTAATCCACTATAAGCGTCAATTATTGATCAGGAACATAAGAATCTAAATACGAAATAAAAAAATAAATTCATTTTATTTTCATTTAAACATTTAATGTAGATGTTGATGAATGTGCCAGTGCACCCTGTCAGAACCTAGGAACATGTCACGACAAACTGAATGGATTCACTTGCAACTGCCCTAGTGGTTTTACAGGAAGAATGTGTCAAATAGGTAATTCTACAATTCATTTTTTGTAACAATATTTATTACATTTAAAAAATGATACAATATTCAATCAGAAGTAAAGATATACATAGTTATGTTGATTTTTAGACATCGATGAATGTCAGAGCAATCCATGTGAAAACAACGGTACCTGCTCAGACCTCATAAATGGCTTTAACTGTGCATGTATTGGTGGATTTACAGATACCATGTGCCAGACCGGTAGAATATTTTTATTAATGTTTTCGAATGGTCTTTCATTTTTCAAACATGTTTAGAAGAAAAGAAGTTCCAAAATATCTGTTAATAAAAAATTATAATTGATTTAATTTTTTAAAAGAATTGAAGATGCAGCATGTTGTCAGATTATTATAAAATTTCAAAATACAGATATAGATGAATGTACCAGTCAGCCATGCCAAAATAACGGCACATGTAAAGATGACATCAATCAGTACTCATGTTTATGTCTGCTAGGGTTTACAGGACAGGTTTGTGAAACAGGTGAGATTTAACATTTTCTCAAATAATTATACGCAAAGAACAATTTTGTAAGTAAATGACGTTTGTTTTTATTGATCTGTTGTTATTGTACTTAAGATTCATGTTCACAATTTTCAGTCAAGTAAAAACATTTACATGCTTCAAAATGTTTATAATGACTTAATACAGCTACACATTTTTCTAGATATTGATGAATGCGCCAGCAACCCCTGTTACGCTATGGGTACATGCAGTGATCATGTGAATCATTTTATGTGCACGTGTCAATCTGGGTACACTGGTTATCTTTGTGAAAAAGGTTTGTTTTCTGCTTATCTATTTACTTAAAAAATGATAAACTCACTTTCTCAAACTTAAATTGCTATTAAAGCTATCTTGTGAGCATCGATATCTGCAATATTATGGCATCCGAGGGTCGTGAAAAGACATAAATTTTAAACATCGGAAGTTTAAGTAGAATGTCATGAACTACACGTGCTGTATATCAATATATTATAACACGAGTTTGTGTTATCTGAAAGTCTTAAAGGTATTAATATCTAGTTCTGAAGCAAATTTTCCATCATAATATTTTAGAAATAAAACCGATAATTAAATAAAACCGAAAATCAGGAACAGTAAATATACAGTCACTTAGAAAGGAATGAAAGCAAAACAAACACACTAGTAATACATATCCCTATATGTGTTTAGTGCTGTGTGAAATGTTAGCAAATTGATTACACGTGTTAAAACATGACCATTAAATACAATAGAGCATTGTTCCCTTGTTTACAAACTTGGGTGTTTTATTTGATTTTAAGTATAAGGTTGTAAAATAATATTAAAAGTTGTCGTTAATTTCAAGTCATTAATCTGAATTCATGACAGTTTAAAGATGAATAGGAAATCGTAACAAGAGGCCCATGGGCTACATCGCTCACCTGAACAGATTGGTTAGGAAATAAAAGCTGAAATAATTTCAGTATTGAGAAGTTTACAAGGAGTGGGGGTCTGGCATTTTTAAACTACCAACTACCTGATTATGCTGTAAATGCCTTTGCTGTTTTTGAGCAAATGATTTTTTCCTATTTATTTATTTGAATCCCCCCCCCCTTTGTGGACCAGCCCTACTTCTGGGAGCCCTCATTTGAATCAGTATGACTTTGTTCTACCTGAGGATGCATATCAATGTGATTAAAATTCCCAATGTATTTATTTTTAATTCTATCCCTGGGGGTCATGATTTGAACAAACTCAAATCTACCGGTACACTACCTGAGGATGTTTCCATATAACTTCTTTTGTACTTGCCCAATGGTTCATTAGAAGAATTTTCTATGATTTTCCTCTATATTCATATGTAAATTTTTGATCATCAGTTGTGGCCCCGCCCTACCTCCAGGAGTCATAATTTGAACAAAATTGATCCTACGCTACCGGAGAATAATTCCAGATAAGTTTCATCTTTACTTGCAAAGTGGTTCTTGAGGAGAAGATTTTAAGAGATTTTTTCATATATATTCCTTTGTAAAACTTTGATCGTAATAAATAAATCGTTCATCCCCTGGGGTCATAACTTGAACAAAATTGAATCTATACTACCATATGATGCTTCCACATGAGTTTCATCTTTCCTAGCCCAATAGTTCTAGAGAAGAAGATTTTATTTTTTATTCATGATTATCTCCTTTTGGAAGAGGGCATGGCCCTTCATTTGAACAAACTTGAATCCCCTTCGCCCAAGGATATTTTGTGGCAAGTTTGGTTGAAATTGATTTGGTGGTTCTTGAGAAGAAAGATGAAAATATGAAAAGTTAACGACGACAACAATGACAACGAAAGACAACGGACAAATTTTAATCAGAAAAGCTCAATTGAGCCTTCGGCTCGGGAGAGCTAAAAAGGCAATGCAAGCGTGACCATGTATCTTTATTGACCTGAAGTTTTCGAAAAACAGTGACAAAAAACATCCTTCTATATAATTACGTATTAAGTGATTTTTCTATTTTTCTTTTACCATCAGAATTAAATGAATGCTCGTCTCAGCCTTGTTCTTCTATGTTTGACTGTGAGGACGAAGTAGATGGATACTCCTGCAAACTGAATTCAGGAAAAGTTGTTGCTATTGTACTGACTTTGCTTACAATGAGTGGGGTCATCACAGGCGCAATTTACTTACTGACAAGACAAAAATATCAACATTTGGTCCGCAGATGGTATTAACTTCATTCCAATATACATAAATCTCTATTCAATTTGTTCAATATTAAAGTATTTAATGTTTTTATGAATCAGTTGAGAGAATGCATTTGTTCCTTTAACCAGGTTGTCAAATTTTCGTGAAATTCGCAAGGTAGACTGCCACCCGAGAAATATGTGAGCAAATCTTCCTCTTGTTATAATATTTTGTCGATATTTATTTGTTTAAAGAAATGACGTGTTTTAACCTTGCAAAAGAAAATCTTAATTTTAAGGAGGTTTTTACGAAGCCTTCTGTGCGCTGCTTAAAAAACTCAATGTTTTTTTCTATAAGTTTCAGAGACAAAGAAGCTATATAGGGACAATTTGGAGAGTCTAGTGATCACAAGTGTTTGGAAATACATTCAGCTAATTAAATATACAGAAATTATTAAAGCGGACATGTAGTTATATGCATTCAGGTGACATTCCTTCATTTAATATCTATGATATACATGTAATAGTTCATTTAGTTTGTATAGTCATATTAAAGTACAGAGGGGGCTTTTACTTCCTCAAGTCAAACCATGCTTATTATCACCAGATAAAGGCAAGCTACATTTATGCATTTAGACCTGCTGTGACCTGATTGTTTGGACTACCAAGGCCTGCAAAGTAATCCGGATTATAAAGGACACTGAAAAGACACAAAACATTGTACAATTCATAGAATTTTATTTTAATACTTTCACTTCACTCCTGTATTTTTCCAAAATAAATGTGTTGAAATTACGTCTTTAATAATCAAGAGCAATCAGAAGTGAAAAAACCTATTGACACTACACACGGAAGTGTTCTGCAATGCATTAAATAATTTTTAATCAATTCTTATATTCTTAAAATTTTAATTGACCAAGATAAATTGTACACTTTATAAGCATGTATTTTCCTACACATGCAAACAATGATTTATGTCCATCGGTACTTTTTGTCTTTAAACATTTTCCTGGGGGTAAATGCCAAGTACCCTATGTTGAAATTGGTTGAAATATAAATATTTTACAATATAATGTTATCAATTGTTAAAATAAAATTTTAATCAATTGTGTAGAGTTTCTTTTAATTATTTATTATTTGCACAAAATATTTACTGTAAATGTATTACTTTTCGTATGTCTTCGGTTTAAGACTTTTGGCATTATGTAGCTACTCGTACTGCTAAATCAAGTACATAGGTATGTTTTGCAGATCCCTTGTCGGCTAAAATCAGGTCCCGGGTTTAAATTTCACAAGAATTTTGCTGTGACGCACAATTGGAACATCAGATGTTGATTCTGGCCATGGATCTAACGGAGAACATAAAGTGATTGCATCATTTGGTGCTACACAAGTCACTGCTTTGACAGTGTGACGACTTTTATATGAATTTATGCCATAGCCTGTGTATCAAGGAAAACCGATAAAAACTACAATTATTTGCACCACTTCGAAGACTCGAAGACTACAACCAAAAGACATGATTTTGAACATTCATACTAGGGTATTGACATATCTGCTAAAAAAGTTTTTGCGGTATCCCAGTCTTCTTACCTATGATCGTTTACAATTTATGTTATACTCTTCGAAATGTAATCCTTTTTTACGCTTTATTCGCCTCTCTGCTAGAAAGAAACTTCATCTAAAGTTAATTAACTCAATTAAGAGCTGTAACCTTAATAACAATATTTACAAACGTGACTTTTCCCGACCGCTATTGTATAAGAAAAAGTGATAAACAGCTTTTGAGTGGATACAAGTTACATGTAACATTAATTTCAATCAATTGTCCCTTATCGTTATTTCCCAAGGTATTGCTGAGATCACAGAAATGCCGCTGGAATTTCATTCAGGTGAAATGAATTTATGACTTTAAAATTTTACATTCATCTTGACCAAAAATGATAGACCTCTTTAGGTTTAACTTGGTGTATTGCTTAAAACACAGTACAAACATTTATGCTTATAGTTAAACGGGTTGTTCAACAAACTTTCTACAACATGAAACACTTTTTCGTTTTACTACGTAGTCCAGATAGGGCCATGTGGTCCATTATTATACGTCCGTTAAAATGTTTTCAAGAAGGTAGCATAAATATGGATATTTTATATTCTGATCTTTTTGGAAAAGTTTTGATTCTTTTCTTCTTATTATAGGTGGAAATAAAAAAATTGCAAATCCCTGCAAATTTGATTATTTTCAAATTAGAATTTCGTGGATTAGTGTAGGACTTATGCAAGTGATTAAATTTTATTAGGAAAACAATTACTTGTTTATAGAAAAATATGTAAAAAATTTCTTTTTGAACAAACTGCTAGTCATTTGTATATATTCCTCCTTTTATCGCGTTGTACATTCTAGTTCGATTAAGCTGTGACTCATTTGACCTAACTTTGTATAAACATTAACTCGTTGGAACGCTACAAGCTCGTTGGCCAATTCAATCTTGAATACCTAACATTTCTGTAATACTTATCTACAATCTTAAAATACATGTATAATGTACTGATTTAGGTCAGCTGTCACTTTACCGATAAATGTGTTTACAAACCTCTTCTTGATCATTTTTACATTTACGTGTTTTTGAGAATAGAACTTTGATCTGATTGGAATAAACATAAATTTTATTCTGTAGTTCATCAATATTACTAATTTGTTGATCTCTACAGTAATTGCAATTTTTATGTCTTTGACGTGAATGATTTTTGACATAACTCCCTAGTGTCATTAAGCATTGAATGAAGTTAAGGATTATGAGATCAGTTTTTTAAACAACTTAACAAAAAGAAACGCATGTACCTGAAAATGAAGTAGATATTTTTTAAAATCTTCCTCGATTCAATTGTTGTTCTGAGGAGGATGTTGGTCATAAATTTATTAATTTTCAAACATATGTTCGAACTGAAACATTTAAAATAATGCAAACAATGTGTAATTTATTTTGAATGGATGTAGAATTTGGCATGAAATTGATTTATTTTGAAATGAAGAGGCCTGGTACTAAAAAAAAGATAAAATTGAAATTTGAAAAAAAAAAACGGGAGTACAAGCATGTATCAATTTTCTTTAAAAGTATCATAATACAAAAGGTCATATGTTAAAATTATTACCCATTGCTAAGGTTAAATCACACTTATCATAAAATGTACAAAACTGCCATAACATCAACATGAAATGCACTCATTTGTGGTGAGGATAATGAAATCATGTTAAAATCGCATCCAGATATTTTGAACTCATGTCCCTGGTACTCATGTATAGAGATGGTGCCATGATCATGAGAAAGGCTTCAAATTTAGACCTTATCCGGGCATTTAGGGGTATTTCAGAGTGAGGGCTTTTAACGGAATCAACGCCTATCATGACATGGGACCTCTGTTTTAAAGGGTCTGACGCCCCCCCCCCCCAAATCCCATTACATTTACCTCCAAGTGCCGTTTCGAGCGATTAGCAAAGAATACCATTTATATCTTATATCAAATTAGATAAGTTGCAGCCGAGGATCGTAGTCACGACCCTCTGGTCATAGAACAAACAATAATTTAATATGAATTTAACAAAATTTCGATTTCTTTATATATTTATTGAAATGTTAGTTTGTTTTCAAAACGCACGAACTTATTATACCTCGGGATAATTGTGAACTTACATTTCAAAAAAAAAATATCATTATATTTTTTTATCTTTTATTTTTGCAAATTTCATAGAATTGACTTTCAACTTCCTTTACCTACATAACAATATACCATTGACACCAGCATATGTATGTTTTCTTCCGTTGTTGATTCAATACGCAAAGGCATGCTTCACGTATGAACAATATCTTAAAAGAACAAACGAATGGCTAACACGTTCATGAAACAAGGATAACAACAGTATCGTTTGGATGCATCTGTTTGCGAGCTTTTGGTTTTAATGGCAAAAACAACCTATCATTGTGTCAAATGCTGGCTGAACTAATATTTGTTATACTAATTCTTAGGCCATCATTTACTAATTTATCTGCTGTTTTCAATTTTTAAAGATCATGAAAATTAAAACGCATTGGGTGCATCAAAAAAGGCAGGAGAGGTCTACTCTTCCAGATAACCTGCTGTTGTGTAGATCTGTTTTTGCTTTGCTCCAAATTTATATTGTTTAAATGGACATCAAGGTCTTATCCAGTCGGTAATCATTGCTGCATTCTAGCAATCTGTTGCAGAGCCTTATAAAGAAAAAAATGTCTATTGACAATATATAATCATGAACTTGTTGATTCCAATGAAGTAATAGATATGTTTTCTGTAAGTGTTTCATTATAAATGAATGAAACTAATTTATTTTATAACCTCAAAAAGATTGCACTCCTGTAGCCATTTAACGAATTGTAGAAAACGACGTGAGAGAAAAGATACTCTGCCTATTTTTCTTACTTAAATATTTGTATTGTTATACACAAAAACATATCTCTTTCTTTGAATTTAAGGTCGTGTTATAAAAAAAACGAGGAGCTTGAGGAAATGTCGATTCTTTTAAAAATTATTTTTTATTCCTGATTAAGTGAAATCATTGGATGAAATGTAATCTATAAAACATCAGAACAAAATACAGCTTTAGCTTTCATGTATGATAAGACATTTCTTAAGTCTACATATACACTTAGTATCTATACAGTGTATTGAAATAAATCAATATAAGGACTGACTGGCTCCAACCTTTAAGTGGTTTGTACCTTCTTATTAAAAAAACTTTCCTTTCATGTTCTGTCAATGTTAATACTTTTTATTCATAAGAATTCTTTCAGTTCATAATCATTCGATCAAAAGTTAAAATAGCGACACTAAATTAAAAAACAAATAAGAGAAAAGAAAAATCAAAAACATTTTCTACAATTACCTGTGTAAAATTCAAAAGGTTGAAAAAGAAAGACTGACGTGTCATTTTTTTATTTTCCAGAAAGTATTTAACCAAATGATGTTTAAAAGTTTTTGGATCAGAAGTTTATTTGTAATTTCCTAGCACTAAAAGGATTTTGAACAAATTTATATCTTGAAAGAAATTTCTTTAGAGCATATTTTTAAAAGAAGGAATGAAACCGGTTTATAGCAATTGTAATGTGAATGAAAGCCTAAATATTTTCAAAATAAACTTTAGAACTTGACTAGGTTAAACGCTGGTTATAATTGAAAGTATTCATCTCAAATGTGATCTAAAATTAAACATTATCCAGGATGAAATGATACAGTAAAACTTGGTTGTAACGTCGCTGGGATCTATCAAAATACTTCACTACTGTATACAGTGAAATTTTCGCCCCCGTTTAATTTTCGCCTCTTTCAACCTCGTTGGGATTTGGCGAATTTAAAACGGGTCGAATTCAAAGTAAACAGTATAATTTCTTAAACAAAAACCTTCTGGGCGAATTTAAAACAGCGCAAACCTGTTTCGAACTGTAAAAGGGCGAAAATAGCACGGGCGAAAATAACCCTGTATATAGTATATCCGTAGTTCGTTAGAACCATATAACGATAAAAATCCATTAGAAATCCACACTTGAGAAACCTTGTTACCGCATGGTAGAATACAAAATAGATACTATATACATTTTCTATTATCTAGGAATAAAGTGTAAAATGTTTTGACTCAATTTAATTAAAACTAAACTTAAATTAAGGTATAAAAAAAAACATGTGCGTTTATAAAAAATTTGTCTTTTTTTTTTTTTTTTTTTTTTTTTTGCTCGCAATGTTTGATTGTGGTATGTAACTTGGCAAAGTCATTTAACGTTAAAAAGAGCTCTAACGTCTATCAACCACAACAGTTTTGAAGGGCGCTAAATTTACATAAAAGATTAACAAAATAAACAATTATGGAGAAAGAAAATTAAATACTTTCATCACCTGCATACGGAGTTTAAATATCTCAAATGATTCAATACGCAAGAGCATGCTCTTCGTATGAACAATTCTAAAAT